TCTGATAGTCTTTTAACTTAATAAGAAATAATCAATCCTAAGCTATAAAAAGTACAAAAATCCAATGACGGTCAATAATTTCCTTTCAAATAAAGGAATTTTTGCATTCTATTTCAACAAAAACAAACGTTTATGCATATCTATCCTTCTTTATTCACATTTTATTAAAAATTACTTATCTAAAGGCATTTATAATGACTGATAGCAATTGCATTGCACTATATCTGATATAAAAGAAGAAATATTTGTATTTTTATGCAATGCGAATATTAAATTTAGTATCTGATCCCTTAAATTCAACATAGTTTATGAAATGCAACCAATCCTGATGTACAAAGAGTACTGAAATCAAATGGTGATTCATTATTTCTATCAAAATGAAGATATGATTGCATTCATTTTCAACACCAACAAATGTTTAAGCCTTATTCTACTTACAATATTAAAATTCTTATTAAAAAAATAATCTTGAAGCCTTTGAAATAACTAGTTACAAATAACATTGCATTATTTTTTAACAAAACAAGAGAAACTGGTAATTTTAAACAATGCGAACAACATTTAAGGATATTTTCTATGATCTTCTTTTACTTTTATGAAAAACAACCAATACTAAACTATGAAAAGTACAAACATCTAATGACAGTCAATAATTTCCATTCAAATAAAGAAATTATTGCATTTTTGTTCAACAAAAACAAACGTTTATGCATATTTATCCTTCATTTATTCACATTTTATTAAAAAATACTTATATAAAGGCATTTATAATGACTGATAGCAATTGACGTTGCATTATTTCTGATACAAAAGAAGAAATAATTGTATTTTTAAGCAATGCGAACATTACATTTAGAATTTTTTCCATTAAATTCAACATATTTTATGAAATACAACAAATCCTGAACCATAAAAAGTACCAAAAGCCATAGGCGTTCAATAATTTTCATTAAAAAAGAGAAATTATTGAATTCTTAATTAAAATAAACAAAAGTTTATGTATATTTTTTATGTATATTTATCCTTAAATTATTCATATCTGATATAAAAGTACTTATCTGAATGCATTACTTATGACTGATTGCAATTGACGTTGAATTATTTTTGATATAAAAGAAGAAATATTTGCATTTTTAAGAAATGCTAACACAAATTTAGTATCTTTTCCCTGAAATTCAGCATATTTTATGAAAAAACAACCAATCCTGATGTACAAAAAGAATCAAAATCAAATGACAGTTCATAATTTTTATCAAAATAAAGAAATTATTGCATTCTTATCTAACAAAAACAAAAATTTATGCATATTTATCCTTCAATGATTCACATTTTATACAGAATTACCTATCTAAAGTCATTGATAATGACTGATTGCAATTAAAGTTGCATTATTCCTGATATAAAAGAAGTAATATTTGCATATTCAAGCAATCCGAACAAAAATTTAGTATCTTATCCCTGAAATTCAGCCTATTTTATGAAAAACAACCAATCCTGATGTACAAAATGTACCAAAATCAAATGACGGTTCATAATTTCTATCAATATAAAGAAATTATTGCATTTTTATCTAACAAAAACAAAAGTTTATGCATATTTATCCTTCAATGATTCACATTTTATACAGAATTACTTATCTATAGGCATTTATAATGACTGATTGCAATTGAAGATGCATTATTTCTGATATAAAAGAAGAAATATTTGCATAAATAAGCAATGCGAACAAAAATTAAGTATCTTTTCCCTGAAATTCAGCATATTATATGAACAACAACCAATCCTGATGTACAAAATGTACCGAAATCAAATGACGGTTCATAATTTCTATCAATATAAAGAAATTTTTGCATTCGTATTCAACACAAAACAAAAGTTTAAGTATTATTCTCCTTACATTATGAAAATTCTTACAAAAAAAATCTTATTGGAAGACTTTGAAATAACAAGTTACAAATAACATTGCATTATTTTTTATCAAAAGAAGAAAAATTGGTAGTTTTAATCAATGCGAACAACATTTTAGTATATTTTCTCAGATATTATTTTGTTTTATAAAAACAACCAATCCTTAACCATAAAAAGTACAAAAAGCCATAGGCAGTCAATAATTTAAATTGATATAGAGGAATTTTGAATTTTTATCAAACAAAAACAAAAGTTTATGTAAATTTATCAGTAAATTATTCATATCTTATACAAAAGAACTTATCTGAATGCATTAATTATGACTGATTGCAATTGACGTTGAATTATTTCTGATACAAAAGAAGACATATTTACATTTTCAAGCAACACGAACAAAAATTTAGTATCTTTTCCCTGAAATTCAGAATATTTTATGAAAAACAACCAATCCTGATGTACAAAAATAACCAAAATCAAATGATGGTTCATAATTTCCATCAAAATTAAGAAATTATTGCTTTCTTATCTAACAAAAACAAAAGTTTATGCATATTTATCCTTCAATTATTCATATCTTATATAAAAGTACTTTTCTGAATGCATTACTTATGACTGATTGCAATTAACGTTGAATTATTTCTGATATAAAAGAAGAAATATTTGCATATTTAAGCAATGCGAACAAAAATTTAGTATCTTTTCCCTGACAAAAACAAAAGTTTATGCATATTTATCCTTCAATGATTCACAATTTATACAAAATTTTTTATCTAAAGGCATTTATAATGACTGAATGCAATTGACATTGCATTTTTTCTGATATAAAAGAAGAAATATTTCATTTTAAGCAAAGCGAACAAACATTTAGTATCTTTTCCTTGAAATTCACCATATTTTATGAAAAACAACCAATCCTGATGTACAAAAAGTACCTTAATCAAATGACGGTTCATAATTTCTGTCAAAATAAAGAAATTATTTAATTTGTATTGAACACAAAACATAAGTTTAAGTAAAATTCTCCTTACATTATCAAAATTGTTACAAAAAAATCTTTTTGGAGAACTTTGAAATAACTAGTTACATATAACATTGCATTAGTTTTTATCAAAACAAGAAAAATTGGTAATTTCAAACAATGCAAACAAAATTTTAGTATATTTTCTCAGATATTATTTTGATTTTATAAAAAACAACCAATCCTGAACCATAAAAAGTACAAAAAACCATAGGGGTTCCAATAATTTCCATTAAAAAAGAGAAATTATTGAATTCTTATCTAACAAAAACAAAAGTTTATGTATATTTATCCTTAAATTATTCATATCTTATACAAAAGTACTTATCTGAATGCATTACTTATGACTGATTGCAATTGACGTTGAATTATTTCTGATATAAAAGAAGAAATATTTGCATTTTTAAGCAACGCGAACACAAATTTAGTATTTTTTCCCTGAAATTCAGCATATTTTATGAAAAACAACCAATCCTGATGTACAAAATGTACCGAAATCAAATGACGGTTCATAATTTCTATCAAAATAAAGAAATTATTTAATTTGTATTCAACACAAAACAAAAGTTTAAGTAAAATTCTCCTTACATTATCAAAATTCTTACAAAAAAATTTTTATTAGAGAACTTTGAAATAACTAGTTACAAATAACATTGCATTATTTTTTATCAAAAGAAGAAAAAATGGTAATTTTAAACAATTCAAACAACATTTTAGTATATTTTCTCAGATATTATTTTGATTTTATAAAAAACAACCAATCTTGAACCATAAAAAGTACAAAAAACAATAGGCGTTCCAATAATTTCCATTAAAAATGAGACATTATTGAATTCTTATTTAATGAAAACAAAAGTGTATGTATATTTATCCTTAAATTATTCATATCTTATACAAAATTAATTATCTGAATGCATTAATTATAACTGATTGCAATTGACGTGCATTATTTCTGATATAAAAGAAGAAATATTTGCATTTTTAAGCAACTCGAAAAAAAATTTAGTATCTTATTCCTGAAATTCAGCATATTTTATGAAAAACGACCAATCCTGATGTACAAAAAGTACAAAATAATGAAATGATTGCATCTTTAATCAACACAAATTAAAGTTTAAGTATTTTAATACTTTTTTTTTTAAATTCTATCAAAGAAACTTTTCTTGAGGCCTTTTAAATAACTAATCAGAAATAAAATTGCATTATATGTTATAAGAAGAAGAAATATTGGTAATCTAGAACAAAAATTAAAACAACGCTCTAAATTAATTAATCCAAACAAAGGTGTATGGATCTTTACTGTTCTGCTTTTTTTTATTTTCATCGACAACAAATAGAGTACTTATTTTAAATGATAACATTTTATCGCTTTTTAGTGGTACATAATTAACGAATAAAGGTGTCTTCGTAGAGGTCCGCGTTTATCGACTGTAAATACTGTGGAGTTCGTTTTACATAAGAATTTTAATTATATACGTATCCGTCCGATCCGTGCATACAATTAATTTACTGATCGATCGCTGACCGTTGTCACGGTAACTCTCACATAGCCTATTTGACGTATCTGACGGATTCTATGGGTCATCGATCACCGATCAGTCATCGATCAGTCAAACATCCGTCACCGATCATTCACCGATCAGTCAAGTTCACGTCAAACAGTAACGTCTAAGGTTGCAAGTACTGTATGTGAATGAATTGTGTATCTCAGTTTAACTTACTATTTTGGGAAATAAATACAAGAAAAAACTGACATTGATCATGTGTTGTAATTGTTTACCTTTTTTCTAGACAGAACGCCTCTCTGTTGTTGAAAGTCATTCCAATCCAGGCTTATTGCTTTTAACCACCTTGTTTAACCACCCATCGAGTAAAATAGTAATATTGTAAACTATATAAAAAAATCCTCGTATTATATAAAACAGGTTAAAGTTGCACAGGTATCCCTTTGTAGTTCTCAATCAAGGGAGGTTATGATTTGAACGCTATAGATTTTCAGATTAACTTACGAAGCAGTCACTGTGTATAAGGAATTAGTAAAAATATATTCCGTAATTTTCACGCTATATTTCAGAATGTAACAGTGGTTATTTTGGTCGAAATTGTGATCATTTCTGTGACGGATGTATATCTTATATATGTGATAAAACTGATGGATTATGTAAAAACACCTCTGGATGTGAACCTGGTTATCTGTACGAAGAATACTGCAACAGAAGTACGTTAAATATGGTAGACTATATACTTTCATTATTTTTTTATTTGAATCAGTCCATCATCGTTTCCTCAGCTTGCTGAGTCCTTCGTTTTTAACGGCCTACTCAAATGAAAATCAATAAACAGATATTTCGATGAGGCTTGTTCAATAAAAGTTTGTAATAATCCTTTTCGAAAAAATTGAAAATAAAATAGCCATCTTGGCCTGATGTAAGAACTTTTGAATCACTACATTTAAAATAAAACCTTATAGATAGGTCGACATTCAAATGTTGAGGAGTAATGTCTACATTCATTTGATCGAAAACAATAAAATGTTTTATAAACAATTAAAATCAGGAAGAACCACGACAAATGATTGGAAAATATACTTACAGAATGCTTTGCATTCTCTATTTATTACCACTGTATCAAAAAAATGCGAAAGATACCAAAGGGATAGTCATACTCATAAATCGAACTAGAACTGACAATAACATGGCAAAGAACTACCAAAGACATACAACAGAATACATAATTTTAATTTACCAATTATTGACTTAATCTTGGATCCTTGTCAGTACTATCTTTGTGCAATAGTTTAGTTAATACAAGTTGATGTAATGTAAGTTTTTAGGGTAAAAAAATCATCATATCATTTACAAACAGATTGCGGATTTTGTTTAATTATGCATAGTGTATACGTTCCATGTGAACAATAAAGCACCTTACCAAATCAAGGATACAATCTTGAGATGTATTTATTCAATTCATAGAAAAATTCTCTATTATTTCTTTACTATGTCTTCCAATGTTATGACCTCTAATATTATATTTTTCAGCCGGCATGTGCCATGAACTGTGAAAAAGTATCTCGATATTGGCAAATGTCTTTTAACTTGTTTACAACGGATATTTTTTAAATGATTGTCTTTAGACTGTTGAAAGTAAGCATATATATATAATAAGCACATTGTCAATAAACAAATTCTGTCTTTGTTAAATTTTCGTATAATTGAGAATATATGTAGCTTCATTAATAAATTTTTTAATTTATTGCTGTTTTACTAGCATGTGACGATGAATATTTCGGTAAAAACTGCACACGAAAGTGTAATTGTTTGACTGGAACGTGCAACATATTCACGGGAACATGTGAAGGTAAGATAATTGATTTCAGTGTGCATAACCTTTAATAAACAGATCCATTCCTGTTGTTCCGATAAAATCTGTCTACCTTTAATATTCAAATAACAATGCACTTGATAAATAATCGAATTTTACCACCCATAAAAATTAAGGTGACTACTAGTAGCTGATTTTGCTCTCCTATTAGTCATATAGCTTTTCAATTTTTTTACATGCCCGGCTATTACTTTTTGTTTATTTTTGTTTATGGGCATTCCTGGCAAAGATAAGTCCAGACAAACGTTTTTTACGTACTAAATTGATTCAGAGTTATTTCCATTTGCTTCCTGTGGGTCGATACAGCTGCTGGTGGACTGTTAGTCCCTGAAGGTATATTCAGACCATTAGTCAATGCTACGCTGCGAATGAATATGATGTTGTACACGAAACGGGTTATTATCTTTTTATGATACCAAAATTAATTTCTTTGTTGCTTGAAAAAATTCCAGATCAGGAAAAAGTAAAATTACAAAAATACCGAACTCCGAGGAAAATTCTAAACGGAAAGTCCCTTAGTAAATGGCAAATTCAAAAGCTCAAACACATCAAACGAATGGATAACAACTGTCATATTCCTGACTTGGTATAGGCATTATCTTATGTAGAAAATGGCGGAGTAAACTTGGTTTTATAGCTAGCTAAACCTCTCACTTGTATGACAGTCGCATAAAACCATTGTAAACACTACAGTTTTACCCTGAAAATTATCACTAAAATGGGATTAGGAGGAAAAAAACATGAAATTTAGAAATTTTGGGTTTAAATAATTTGTATATTAAACTTTTCAGCACCTTTAATTTTTTTCATATTTAAGCCTTAAGTGCACAGCGACACACACAATTAATAACACATTTTTTTTCTCGTGCTATCAAACGTACCCTCGAGTGGACAATGGATCTGGACACAGGTCAGGCGTTGAAGCCACGATGCCACAGAAACAGGGTTTGAATCCCACTGAGGGACGAACACATATTTGCTAACACTGTTGGGCTAAATTTTAGACAAAGTATGTTTAAACTATGGTGTTAGTCCTGTATAAACTGTATCAACACAGGTTATCCGATTGAGAACGGTCATCGTAAAGTTGTCAAATACAGTTAACTCTCGTTGTTTCGAACTCGGTTGATTCGAAATTTCGGATGAGTCGAAATTTTCCCGTGGCCCCGATCTTTGTTCCATACAAATATATGTATTTCGACTCCTGATGAGTCAAAATTAGATGAGTCGAAATTTCGATTGTTTCGAACCAAAGTTACGGTCCCAAAATTAACAACAGCATATACATTGTATTTATACGTATATAATAAGATTAAAATTTGATGTGACGGCATGGTAAGTAAAATTTTCATCCTTTACGACAGAAAAAAAACAGCTGATCTGCAACGTACACCACATACTTTTCACTATACATCACTATAAATAAAGCCGACGAGGAAAGGCAATACTCGACTAAAGAAGGCTATATTTTAATATAGCTTAGTTGGTCGAGTGATCTAGGGCGCTGGACACAGTACAGGTGGTGTTGCCACGATGTCACAGAAGCAGGGGTTCGAATCCCCCTGAAAGAAGATTATTTCAAACAGTTCTAACATTAATGTTGGACGGAATTTGACACGAATACATATATATAGAAAGTTTTGTGTACATATCATTATGTTTATTCAACTTACAACATATTATTTTAGATGCATCTAAATCGACAAGTGAAAAGACTAACGTTATCGCGATAGTTGGAGGTGCTGCTGCTATCCTTGTCCTTGTGCTAATAGTAACGGTGGCTTTCATCGTTTACAAGTAAGTTTAAATGTTCATGAAATGTACCAGGTATTTACAGTAAATAGCAACTACCCTTTTTTATTCGAAAGATCAGTTTGGGGAATTTTTTTTTGATTGATTTAATGATTAACAAATGAATTAAGTGAACGCTTTTTAATTACCAACAAATTATATGGACAAGTTGAGTCTTTTTATTAGGACATTAGGACATTAAAAACGATTTACAAGTAAAAATTGATATATGCATACACTGATTTCACAGATTTTCAGGTACAAATATTACATACATAGGCCTAATCGTTTTTCAAAACAATGTCATATTAATTTCCATCCTCACAATCAATTGTAAGTACATACAGATTTGATTTAAAATCATCTCTCGAGAGACGAACGAACTTACAACTATTTTTAATTCGACGACCTTGCCCGAAGCATGTAAAGACAGAATTACTAACTATTACATCAAATCCAATCCCTAAAAGCGAATGTTTAACTGAGGTAGCTTTACCTTTGCTGTGTCACGAAAGCTTTCTGATTAGCGCTTGTATATTACATACACAGTGTTTGGTGCAGTCAGGGGCTTTAATTACTATGATTTTAATCCGCTGCAAGCATAATTTTTTATGTATCTATAAAAATATTTATATATGGATACCAAGTTTGAATTACATTTATACTTTTTCTGCCTATGATAGTGTATTAACAAATGCCTGAAAATTACCCATCGGATCTTAAGAGATGAACTTAAGATGCAAGGATCATGTAATTATAATATATAAATGCCTAATAGCTTAACCAATCAATTTCATATTCATTTCAACACTCAAAATCGTCTGTACACACAGATTTTAATTGTTTAGTCATTACTCGAGAGACTATTTTACAACCATTTTTTACATCCTCCGACAACCATGCGCCCAGCTAGAATGTAAAGACAGAGGGGCTTACCACTTCACCAGATCTAATCCTCAAAAGAGGAAGTTTAACTAGGTTAGTGTTACATTTGGTTGTCAAGAAAAAATAAAATGACAAAAATATAGAACTCCAAGGGAAATTCAAAACAGAAAGTCCTTTATCAAATGGCAAAATCACATCAAATGAATGGAAAACAACAGTCATATTCCTGACTAGGTACAGCCATTTCCTTATTTGTAGAAAATAGTGGATTAAATTTTGTTTTATGCTATGTAAACCTCTCACTTGTATGACAGTCGCATAAAATTCCGTTATATTGACAACAATTTGTGAGCAAAACAAACAGACATAATAGGTAAAAATGACAATCATTGGGGTACAGCAGTCAACGTTCTGTTATAATCTTAATCGCTATAAAACATAACTATTTCAGGAAAGCTTTCTAGTTCGCATTTTTATTTTAAAGAAAAGTATGATTATTTGTGTATATGTTGTATTAAACAAAAATAGTTTAAAAACCATAGAAATGATTCTTGTCGAGGTACTGTATTGTGAATTGCTTTGAAAATACCAATCTATTCAAGATTATATTTCTTAATTGTATTGTTATTTTCCTACGCTTTGCTTTAGTACGTATCAAATGCCATCTAGAATTACTTTAATATATATAATGCTTCATTCTGCATTAAAATTTTAAAAACAATCCTGAGATTTCTTACAATAATACATGAAGTCCTTAACCAGATTTGGTAAAACCTCTAGTTAAATTTTCTCTTACTCCATAATTCAGTTAGCCTTCCGCTGTTTTGAATCAAGAGTCACTAAAGAGTACTGTGTAGATGTTATACTCTTCTTGAATGCCTTTATGCATAATACGAACTAGTTGGTACAAACACTTAAAAAGAGATATAAAATACAGTAATCCTATTAGGTAATAAAAAAACAGATTGCACCATGTGAAAAAAACGAAGACAAGACAAACAACAATAACAAAATACTACAACGATTACAAACTGGTTCGAACTCATGTGTTTCGGAAGGGTAGGTAGTATGTGCTCCAATAGTGACATCCTTCGTGTTACCAATTGACAGCAGTCATTGAGGATGAATTGCATTCGATAATTTTACAATTGCGGGAAAGAGAACTGGATGGTGTTGACAAGTGGAACATATTATACTCGTGGACATTTAAGACATAGATATTCCATAACGGTCAATACAATGATGAATACTTTCAAAGGCATGAATTCATCATTTGGAACCCTTGATGCAACAGCTTCTTTGTAAGTTGTAGCCCTCTATTTGGAAAATCTTGGAAAAACGCAAGTCTTGAGTTATCATACCAATTGGGATATATACTCCACATGCAGTCACTGCTTGAACTTTACTGGAAAGAATAGTAAAGTTTACAAACTTTATATTATTTACAATAAGAATTATTTTTTAGCATAATTTTTTCTGAGGACGAATAATAATGTGAAGAAAATTATTCGAAATTAATGTACTAAAATATATACCAAAAGAAACATTTAACCTAACATTCCGATGAAATCCACTTGTATTTAAAGCCTTATTAATAGTCTATATCATATGTATTTCTTCTTCAGCAAATTATGACATACTTTTTTCTAATATTACTTAGATATTGTCAAACTTACTGAGCTAACCATACATCTCGTTTTGTCTATTATTTTGCAGACGCAGATTAGTTTCCAAACAAGATAGATATATTCAACATACCAAACCACGCATTCAGACCACCTTGAGTGAGCAAACTGTTGTCGTTGTTTTCACATAGCAATATGTATATTTTTTAATCAATAGTAATAATCATCTGTTCACTTAAATGAAATCATAATTTAAGTGTTACAGGCAATGATAATTCCATCTGTGTAAATATTTTGGTATCTTTATCCGGTTAACTGTGTACCATGAATATAAACACGTTAAATCTTCTCTTGGAAGACATAACCAGATATTTTAATGTTATGAGCAACACATCGTATGAAACTTTTGTAATAATTCTTTCTTGTCATATTCGTTTATGTTTTAGGCTTAAAATATTGACATGTGTGGATTATAAATGATTTTGGTATTTTCTGTAAATTATTACACATCTCAATCAATCATCTATGTTGTGGCGCTTGAACAACTTTTTTCACTTGTGGGGTTTTGCAACGAATTATACGGCAGGTGTCAGAAGTGTAGCATGAATTGGTAAATCTTCCTGGGTACAGTTTTTTATAACTTAGTCTCAAGGGTTCTTGCAGTGTTTTGTCGACTGTTTTTAACCCATTCAGGAAAACGAGGTTTTTAATGACGAAGCCTAAAAAATTATTGCTTTGTATGCACAAATAATTATTTGGAATTTCTAACAACTAACGAACTTTAAATTAGCAGCCAATGTGGGTATCCCACACATACCCCTGTATTATTCAAGTACGAGGATGTTTTATACCATCATAAATCTGTCATTCTCTCCATTGATATAAACACAAAAAGGACGTTGAATATCTTCTGTCAATAAAATAAATACATAAACCTCACAAAAATTCTTATAAAGAACAATATATTGCCGCTTTGTAAGCTCTTTCACTAAACATATTTCTAAAGAACTTAGTATCATTCTTTCTATAGTAAAATATGGCCTGCCTTCAGACATATTGTAGTGAGGTTGTTCCACCAGTGGTCTATCAAATGAGGATTTTTATAAAAAACCTACTTCAAAATCTTCAACATGTTCAATCTCAATTTTTACAATTTTGGATGAATATCCAATTTTAGATTTTTCTACACACTTCACTATTATCGATCGACTACCTTTTGTCATAAAAAAAAAGAGCCTTTTCTACAAAAAAAATGGAATCGTATTTACATGTACAATTTCTTGTTTGAGATAATGAATAATTTTACTTTATGTAGAACTACACTGATACATAGAATAGGTATAATAAAAAAAGGACTTTTTGATCGATAACATATTAGTTGAGTTTGTTGATCGATATTACAACAGTCAGCCGGTGCTCAAATTGGTATTCTTACTATGCCACCTCACTGGCCGACTTGTCTTAGTTAATATTGTTACATATGGGGCAAAATTCAAACAGAGCTTTCTCATAGACAAAATGAAAAAAAAATCTTGTATTTTTTTTCAATCTAATTTACAGATATACTGATGATGTCCTGTCAATAAATAACCCAAAAGTCTATGAGATCCATATCATATATCCAGTCAACTTGTGATTAGGGATACCAGCAAAACTAGAAGATCAGGAAGGCGCTTCCGATGCGCGCAATTAACTAGTGTCATTTTCATTCATCGTGTGCTTCATATCATGATCTTTTCTTAGATGTTGACCCAACTGACGACTTTAAACTAGAAATTATGATAAGCATAACTATTTCATCTTTCCAATTGTCAACTTCACATTTCACAAACATGTCTTAGACTTGTGGTAGTTGATCGTCACTTTTTTTTATTTTATACTCTATTATACCTTTCTCATTCATCTCTTGTGAATTCATAACAATGTGTTTTAAAACATAAACGTGTACTTATAGCATATTATTTGTAGCGAATTTGCTTTGACGTATGCATTGATGGTCTAAATATATTACTACATTTTTTTCAGATGCACAGAAGGAAACCAGTAATGAATATGCTAATGTAAATGTAGTTGCAATAACAGATGCAGAAGAGGTAATTTTCACATTGAAAGACAGAGAATTCGAAGATCCCGATTTACAAACAGATGAAAATGGGGATGAAAACGTGTACTATAATGACACTAGTGAACACGATGTGTCTAAGTACAAGATACTGATCAAAGATCTTAAATGGGCTATAAATGAGAAACAAAAGGCCGATGGTTTCAAGAACGAGTATGAGGTAAATTTTGCTCATTGACAGCTGTTGTTTTAAATGAAAGTGAACGTATTTTTCTGTGAATTTGACATTTTTTTTTTCTTTTGGTGTAAAGATAGCTTCTTCTATAATGGAACGTATAAGCTTACTTTGCAATTAAAACAGTCAATTATATCAGAGTCACTTTCATAGGATACCAGGAGACTTTATCATATTGTAGACTAATAAATTGTAGACGCGGAAAAATCAATTTCTTCAAATAATACGGATATAGTTAATATCTAAGTTACGTGATACATGTTGCTAAAAAGTTACAGGACATCTGGTGTTTGTTTCTTTGTAGATTTTACCTAGAGGGCTAATGTATGCACATGTTGAAGGATCAAAGGAAGAAAATAAAGTTAAAAATCGTTTTCTCTCAACATGGCCATGTATGTAAATATAGACAATGGAATTAAATATAGATGATAATAGTTTTGAAATATTTGTAACAAAATATAACTGTTGACTAATCGTTTAAAGAATCAGACATCATACAAAAATCTCAGAACAAGATTTGCAAACAATTAACGAACTAATCAGATAGTGCAAATTTATTCCTTTGAAGATTTGAATTTATATCTTTTTAGGGAGAAACGACTCTAGAACTGTTATTATTATCTTTACAAACCAATAAGTTTAGGTGCGCAGAATAAAGAAAAGTATGACCCCATTCGTGGACATTTGACGTGTTTATGATCACTTAAAATTATATTATTTTATTATTCTAAAACATTGAATGTTTTAACTATATAGGATTTTGTTTTTAACTTTGTATAAAAACTTTATCTTATAGAGTAATTTTGGAAATATAAATAATCAGATTTAAAGAGCAATTTAGTGCAATTCAACAACATAATGGCATTGAAGTCTTGCAAATAAAGAAGAGCTTTATTTAATGCACCAAATCTTATATTCTTTGATCAATTAAAAATATCAAATGTAAATATCAAATAATAAATAATAAAATAAATAACAAAATCAAAAGTAAACAGGATGATGATATGTTCGATTGCCCTTTCCAAAACATCAACGCAATAGTACAGAACAAATATAATCCTGGATATCAAATAGAATTTGATGCACTGTATGAAGGTTTAAACATGTCATTTTAGTAAGTGGTTCTCGGAAATTTTATTGAAATCATCCAGTATTATAGCTACAGGAAATAATCAATAATCCCAAATTTTAACTAAATGAGGATGTCAAAACCCCTTTTCATCTGCGAATAAATCAAATCCGAATAATAGATCGTATGCAGTATACGCCAAAGTGACATTATCACAGCTACAAAATTAAGTCGTAAAACACTAGAGGTCAGTATAATTTTTCAGGAAATAAATAATTCAATAATATTTCTTCTTTATTGCTGTTATATATTATATCATCTTGCCGCAAAAATCGTTTCAACTATGGTAACCTAATTTGCAATATTAAGTCCTCGATCCTCAATCCGCAATCTTAAGGCCTGTTGGCACAGATTGTCTCGAAAATGCAGGTTTACATATCGTGCTTTATGCTCAACGTATTATCTCTGTGTGCTTTTTAAAGGTTATGCGCTGGTTAAGATTGGAATTAAAGAAATTGCAGTGTCAAGTCTGCCAGTTCTGTCGATATAATTTGCCACTGTTAGTAGTTTGACTTTCGTTTCTTCGATGTGACACACAAATCGATTCAAATTCTTAACGATAAGAGAGAATAAGAGCCAAAACAAATGGAAATGACATGTTTTTATTAACCTACAAGACCAGTGTATTTGATATACGCTTGACACATACAAAGAAAAAAATTTTTTAAAATAAGTTTTGATTTTATAAAAATGGTAATACTTGTTCAAGTTTGATTACCAAATAGGATTTTTTTTTAAATTTTTATAATTATAATTCATAGTAGAAAGAATAACATTTGAATCCCAATATTTCAAAGATACCATCATGGTATTGTTTTTTTCTAATTTAATATTTTTTTTATATAAAATATATATTTGAAGATGACCATTCACGAGTTATCCTGAAGGGAAACACGAAGCAGGAATATATAAATGCTAGTTATATTGATGTAAGTTTTAAAAACATTTTCTACGATTTAAAATTTTAATCGATGTAAGTTTTAGCGTATGTTTTCAGCTCAACTTGAAAGCTTTTACAAATCCCAAACGCTCTTTTTTAGCAGAAATCAATACCAATACGTGTTCTTACTGATACATGTGATATTTACAGTGACTAGCAATATAATAGTTTGTATCATTATACCCCTAGCTGCGAAATAGAGAGGTATGTCATTTTTGACCCGCCAGCCCGTCCGTTAGTCAGTCAGACAGCCCTCAGTAATTTCAATTCCGGATTCTTACTCAAAAACTTTATATCGGATTGCAAATCTAATTATATATAGTCAAATATTTATCGGATTGAATATTTACATAGATATATCAAGAAGAAAAGTGGTTTCCGGATGCTAAATCAATGACTTCATAATGAATTGCAATCTTATTTAGATATATTGTAAAAAAAAAATAAGTTACGTAAAACTGTGGTTTTTGCATGCTAAATCAAATAATACATTATGGGATCGCAAGCTTGCTTAAGTATATGGTTACATATAATAAGAGGAAGATCCCTATCGATTTTGATGTTGCTTTGTTCAAAATTAAGGTCTAAATAAATAAAAGACAATGAAATTTGTACCACAAAAGGTTTCAGGAAGTAGTATTCAAGGTTCTATCTTAACTTAGATATTTGGTAAGATGTTATAACAGAACGAAAATGTAATTCCTATCCATTTCCAAGTTGCCTGATCGAGGGTCAAGATCATATTTACTCACATAAATTTGTTCGAGACAGCGTCTCATATATGTTATTGGAATGAGGAAGTACGTGAGCCGGGGATCGAGCCTACGCCTCCCTCCAGTAAAGGATATCACACTACAATGAGAACCAAAAGGTAATAAATGGATGTGTGTTCAACGTTCATTTGCAAATATAAAATTACTATTAAGGAAAAAAAACATGTCAATGTGATATGAAGATAATACCTGCTATGTAAAAGATCTTCACAATGAACCAGTTTTTTACGTTTTAATTCACAAAAAAACCGTTAGAGGGAAGACATTTCATCCTACCTTAAACTGATTCTGACTCCGCTCAAACCGATCTAACGAGATGCGCTTGCTTTGTATCGAAGCAGCAAATGAAATACACAAACAAAACAAATGGTAACAATAAGCACAAAGTCGAAGACGAACAAACATCAAAAGCTGATTGACGTGCAGACAAAAACGACATGTAGAAATGCAAGAACGCAACACCCAACGCAACCAGAAAATGAATTCAGAATCTGCCGGGAAAATTAATCGTGTCTACCCTACTGGTGGCACCATTTGTGTTGTTAATAATAGATTGAACTGTTGATGGTTAACAGCAAGGGTAAATAGTTAAGATTTCTACCTTATTACAATTACAGAACTATGAACATAAAAAGGCATACATAGCAGCACAAGGTTCGTGAAGAATTCTTCATTCTTGTTTTGGTATTATAAGAATTACAAATGTACTAAAACTAGTATATATCTATTGTTTTTTTTTTAATGAAACACTGGATTATTTTGTATTTGGTAAAAATTCTGAAGTCCATATTCGTACGAACTGTGTGCATAAAATATTTTGCATACTTGTGTTGTAAGTTCATATTCTATAGATTTGTTATTGGTTCGATACAACAAGAACTCTTGATTCTGGCTTGCTTTTTACTGACAAATGAATATGTTGTTGATTTAGTAAATTAGATATACCAATGCAGAGAATCAAACTCTAATCTGTCGTTTCTATGTTTTTAAGATGTTATCATTGCCTGTATTTTTTGTATGATATCCGCCGCGTTGCTTTTTAAAAACATATTCACCTACTACATGTACTGATATCAAAATGGAAAATAGGTCAGTAGTTAAAAAATAACAAGTGTACATTCGTGGTATTACAAAACAATTACTTTTACCAAAAAAGAGAAAACAAATGGAATAAATTATACAACCATTTTGAACTTTAACAGTTTGCGTAATCCTGTAAATGTTTTGAATACAACTGTCTGTTTACTTATGAATATCATGTTAATATATATTTCGATTTCCTCAATATTAAGGTCCTAAAAGGATTACAGTGAAAGATTTTCTGCATATGATCTGGCAAGAAAATGTTGAGAAAATAGTAATGGTAACACAGCTTATAGAAAATGAAAAGGTGATAAATTACCTTACCACATTTTATGATATAAATATCATTACTTTTTCTAGCAATAATTTTCAAAAGGTGATAACTTTGATTTAAGTAAATTTTCAACAAAACTAAACATCAAACAATTGTTTATTGAGTGATCAATCAAGAAACGAATTTATTTTATTTTCACTTTTATTTTTACTATGCAATCGATTTTTCATTTTAATTGATCAAACAAAAGAATCTTCTGATACTATGAAGTCAAAACTAAACACCTTTTAGATTCTATTTTTATTTAAATCATTTCCTTTTCTTCAGAAAAAATGTGAATCATATTGGCCTGAATCAGTTTCTGAACCACTGGTAGTAAACAACTTTAAAGTAACAATGACCGAGGAAAGAAAATACACATTTTATGTGTACAGGTTATTAACACTTTCGCTCAAAAACGTTACGGTAATTTTATTATTATCATCATTACAGCGCTAGATTAACAGAAAAGGTTAAATAACACTTAGACTATGCCAAATCAGTCTAACAATATTTCTCACACCTTATGTTATTACTGATATCTGTATTGTAACTTGCTATAGATAGAATTTGATCAGTAGAAATGGCTTGCTTTGAAACGTGTATTCTTGAAATGCAAAAATCTATGACAAACATTCAGGATTTTAAAGAAAGTACAACGTGTATTCTACCTGGCTGATAACAAGCACCCAAGTTGATTAATCGGATAAAAAAAAGATAAATGGTATAAATGTCATTGTTAGGAATTTGATACATTTGGTTACAAACCAGAAAATATTAGATCATATAGGATCAAAGCAGTGACATATTGCAAAAAAATCAGTTGCTTGCTAGAAAAAAAATCAGATGAAAAAAACGGTAAAATTGATTTCAGAATAAGCTCAGTGTATCTTCATTAGAACACTACTGAATCTTCGATAATAATTACTATTTTCAATATTAATGTCATTATTATTTAACTTTCGTACTTTCGTATAAAATTGACATTAGTTAAGAGACAATGGTAAAAATCCAACCCTTTCCTTTTTATGTAATACCTGATGGGTTGTTTTGGTTTTTTGGGGGTTTTTTTAAGCTATTAAGTGTCGTATTTTTACTGCAACACATTTCTGTGTCATTCCTTTTGCCAGCATATATCAAATTTCAAACCTAACAAGAAGTCACTTTAAAATCTGTCAAAACATTTTTTCTCTCGTTTTTAACGTATAAAAAGATCATGAATGATACCGATGTGTTTGCATATTTACATTGTTTATATTTCGCCAACACAAAACGGACACATTTTGAAAAGAGTCTTGCTGCAAAACGGAAGAAAGGTATTGTTCCTGAAATAGATAGATAAAAACTATAACAATGGTAAACTTGGTGTTAGGTATCTTATTAATATCTCATTAATTACTACACAAATGACTATGATAAACAACTTGCTCGCAATTACAATGTAGCAGGTTTTTCTAAGCTGGTTTGTTTAGTTCTTTTATAAGCATTTGTATTTTTACCGGCTGTGTTAAATTTTTTACACATTATAAGTGAAAAAAGGTTGTTGATGCTCGTATAAGAGATATTTTTCATTCACTTCAGAATGTGGAGGAACGAAAAATTCACCATTTTCATTTCATTCAATGGCCAGACCATGGTGTTCCTGACAGCATCAAACTTGTAGACTTTTACAGAAAAGTCAAAAATGAAAAATGTCATCAAAGTGGACCAATGGTTGTACATTGCAGGTATATATGCAAATACAAAAATCCGTCTAATATATATGACTGGTTCACAATATCATCATCAAATATCATATCAAACCATATTCCTTTATAAAGAAATTGAGAAATACAACTGGAATAACGTATTCAATTTGATATCTAACATTATTTCAAAAATGTGCTAATTAACAAAATTAATCTTCCACTCAACATCGTAATTGTTTTATTTCTTACATACATGTACCTTTATATTTGAAAATGATAATTTGTTAAGTAAGACAAGTAGTCAAATTATTTTATCAATTCTTTAGCGCTGGAATTGGAAGGACCGGAACATTTATAGCTATAGATGAATTATATCAGCATGGAACGAAAATTGGTTATGTAAATGTTATGGAATATATAGAGATGATGAGGAAAGACAGAATGAATATGGTTCAAACATACGTAGGTAGCTTTCTTGTAGAAAAAAAAAACATTACACAGTTTGAATGCCACCCCAAGAAACCTGTGGTTGTAATTATGCACTATTGAGTTGTTTTAAGCTTAGAATGAAAATAGCTTGCATTATTTAGTTGTACATGTATTGAACATATTTGGCCTTATGTGTTTTCTATAAGATTGAACTAAAATTTGGTTATCATTATGAACCTTTCAAGCATTTATTTTGCCAAGTGTAGATTGCTGCTTGGGGTATTTAGTTTTAATGTGTTGTTCTGTTAGCTCATATTTTCAAAAAGTAAAGCAAATGTGATTTCTTAATATTTGGTTCATTTGGATCCTACATGTATATGGTACGATTTTTTCCAAGTGCATTGTATTCAACTGTATCAAAGCATTATGGACAAATTGAATAGAAAATGTCTTTTTTATTTAAATTCATAATAAACGAGTTTCTTGTAATTTTAATGTTATCGAAATTATTGAACTAATGCATGCATGTATACTAAACTAAGTCCTCTTTGCACGTTTTTTTTATATTTATTACGAATCTATAACGTATTATCGACAAATAACATTTCATTCAGTGATTATTGATCCCAAGATAATTGACTTTCGAGTCTGCTGCCGAAGTTTACCGGATCGTGACATTGATAAACAATCAACACAGAGCACATGGAGCTTGTGACAAAGAAGTGAATTGTTAGAGCCATGATATTCATTTTCTTATATTTTCCATGCGTTCCCATTTGTTATTTAAACTTTCCCTTAAAAGTTGTTAAATGATTTGTTGTATTGAATTTGTTCTTCCAGAATCAGTTTTTACTATTTACCTTCCAGTTCACGTTTGTTTACATTCTTTCGTCACGGTTTTCCCCTCGCACTTGAGCTGTGCTGTGGCCGAAGTTCTAACGAGAGATCTCAAAGTTAAGATCACTGCATACGGGTAAATATCGCCGAATTAGTGTACGTGAAGACAATGATTCAATAGCAGTACATTTATGAAGAATTTGATGATATCAAGGATTTTCTTTTACAAAGAAAGTTCACGTACACTTGTTTTATAGTAAAACTTAGCCATTCAAGTATATAAAACATATTCAATCTTTTTTTTAAATTTGAGGTTTCATATGCCTATTGGTGATAAATTTCGATTCATTTAGTGTTATTCTGTAAATTTGTACTTTTGTGGAAAATACCGCTAGTAAAAGCTAAGCTGCTAAACAAATCCATGTTTTAACATCGATATCATATAATTCTATATTATTAAAATACCAAATAAAAAAAGTTAAATATAGTAAAAAAATTAATTATTGCACAAGTTAAACGTTGAAATTCAAGTTCACTACAAAACATTAATAACAAAAAGCTGAAATCCCCGAAGAGTTCAATGGTTTACAGAGACATGCGCATTTCATCTTTAAAAGTTTAAAATTTTTTATACGTTTTAATTGAAAATGTCATTCTTTTAAGCTGACAGGTATTTATATAACGTTGCATTTTATCTTTAAAAAAAGCGTTGAAAATAAATAATGACTAAATAATTCATAAAGTAAAGAATTCACAATTGCATAATACATAAAAAGGGATAACAGAGAACGACAAAAATACCGCAGAGTCAACGAACCAAATCAACGATGTACAAAAAAAAAAGCAGGAAAGTTAGTCAAACAATGGCGCACATCATCGAGTTAACCACAAAAATATAATGTTACTATTGGTCAGATATTACATCAACATAATAGAGGTAATACTTGGGCAACATTCAAGCTAATCAAATGTCTTAACCAGTTGCCATAAACACCACAAGATTTGCGAAGTATATCAAAACGTACCGACTTCCAATGAAAATTCAGAAATGGAGAAGTCCATAAAAACTGATAAAACCATTCGTTAGACTTTATCAACCAACAGAACGAATGGAAAACAGTTGTCATATTCCTGAATTGGTAAATGCATTTTCCGAAAAAAAATAGATAGTTAAACCTGGTTAAATAGCTAACTAAACTTCCAACTTATATGACAGTGGTTTATAGTTTCGTTATTTTGACAAAATTGGGTGATCAACCCAAACAGACATAATAGGTTAATGTGGCAATAATTAGGATCCAGCAGCCAAATCTGTTTAAAAATTCATCACAGACATACAACGTAACGTTGTTTTGATCATCTAAAACAGAAATCATTCAAACCAGACCGCACGAATCTAAAAACAATAACAAGTTGAAGTGAAACGAATGATTTTGTATGAGACTAACTTATCATCTAAAACATAACGGAGAGAATTAGAGTATATAAACCTGTGTTTTGATAACAAGACCCATACTACAGAAGGTTGGATCAACCAAGTTTAATAATCTAAAAACTTAAAGACAAACGGCTCTTTCTAGATGATGGTTAAGAAAATAAAAAGAGCATGTTTAGTTACTGTAATTATCTTATCATTTCAACTGTTAAAACGACATGTTAATCATATAAATCTACGGTTCCAGTTTCAATCAATTTATGCGATTTTTTTGTTCGTGTATAAACGTCTATACCATAAGGCTGAATCTTTTAGAACCCTACACCTTAGTTAAATATCAAGATATCGTTGAATATGGACAATTGCAATTGTAGGAACAATATGAGACAGTCTTTGAAGCCTTGTTAGAATTGTTTACAGTACCAAAAACGTCTATTCCGAAGAATGATTTCTGCCATTACATTTTGGACCAAGAAAATAAGACCAGTCCACGAAATCAGAAGTTGTATAAAGTAGAATTTCAGGTATATTTTTTGTTCGTTTTGGATGAAAAAGAAGAACATGTTTTTATTAATTCAAAACACAAACATTCCTACATGCAGTTGGTAAGACTTCAAAAGAACAACTCTATGAAGTACATTTTTTTACACTAAACCATATAAAAATGTTGAATATTAATTATCATTGTACACAACCGCCTCGATGGTAGCGTGGTAGCCTCGAGTGCGGGAGGTCGTGGGTTCTAAACCTGACCGGGTCAAACGAAACACTTGAAAATTGGTATTTGCTGCTTTTCCACAAAGAACACAGCATTAAGGAGTAAGAGCAAAGACTGGTCGGCTCGGAGTCAGAATAGTGTGTCTGTGTAGGGTGACATCTCTTACTGTGGACTTTTATCTTGTGAACAAGCAGGTTAAAAAATCCGGCTCAGTGTACATGTGTCGGTCTTGTACATAGCAGGGTTTATTTTCATATTACATTGCCTTGTTCTCGTCCTGAATATGCATTTAATTTGCCGCTAGACATTAAACAGCCATCCATTCATCCTATGTGGACGCCATGTCTTTTTAGATTTTATAAATGAAGTCATAAAACCATTTAAACTTCTTACATATATTCATGCCCAATCTATGGTAGTAGAGGTGCATAATGTTTTCTGGTCTGTACGTGCTTGCATTTGTCCCCCGTAAGTCCGTTCCGTATCAGGTTAAAGTAATTAGTAAATATAAGTTCACATGTTCATTTTAATAATATCTTTGCAAAATTATACACCAAATTTCGTTTTGACAGTGATTACATGGTTCAGTAAAATAGTGTGAAACTAGTACATTCCAAGGATAAAGTTTTTGTTTGAGTAAGTTTACAATGAGGTTGGTCAAGTTGTGGCCCCATCAACTTGAAACCTAGTTAACATCTTCATTGTGAAACGAAATAATGTATGTCGAATTGTTGAATATGGACACTTGAAAGTTTTAACGGGACATGGTGTCCTTTGAACACATATAGCTAATTTTCTTGTTGTTATTATTGTTGTAGTTGATACGGTGAGGGTTCATATCATTACATTTCTTTGTATACCATATTTATAATTTAAAATAACTAATGTTTGATTTAGAGATTGAAAACCCTACGACCCCTGTATCCTCCATCAGCATTTACCGCAGCAACATTAAAGGAAAATATATCCAAGAACTCAGCAAAGAAAATACTTGCACGTAAGTAAATCTTTAAATCTGTTTTTCAAATGAAAATTATTGACACGAAACAATGTTATTCTGTTTTACATGTTGTATGCAATATAAGATTATTTTTATAATGTTATTGGGTGTAAAAGCGTTGACCGAAGTACATTTTGTATGAGGCCCGGAAGCGGTTCATATTAAAAATGTGCCCACGATTAACGCTTATAAAATAATAAAAAGAAGCATTCAATTCTTAAAATTACATTTTACGCTACAACTATGAAAGTAAGAGGTATGTTAAGCTTTTCATTTGTTTTTCAATGCATTATTTTAACATTGTTACGGATAGCACGTGCAGTCATAGCTGTTGTGCTTTATACAGAATAAATTATGATTTTGGAGTGTCATGCGGTTGCTGTCAGCCAATCAAAATACCAATTCTAATGGAACATACATGTAATGTAATTATCTAAAAAAAAAAATTACAAAAGTTATATGTTTAAGTTACTACGAAAGTAGTCAATAAAGAACCATAAAGGGAAAACACATTCATATGAATAACTGTAAATTGAATGAAATATATTATGTATTAAAATTGAGAATAGGAACAGGGAATGTGTCAAAGAGACAACAACCCGACCAAAGGGCAGAAAACAGCCCAAGGCCAACAATGGGTCTTCAACATAGCGAGAAAATCCCGCTATCTATTTTATCTATTTGCCTCATATTCATTCAAGGCCGTTAGCTATATTACAATTTATATAATAACGTTGCATGTGCAAAATCTTTAGTCGACAACATTTTTTTATTTATTTCATTCAAAATTAAAGAAGAGGGGATATTAGAGAAAATTTCTCCATGAAAGCCAGACCATTGACAGATATTTTTTTTTACTTTGATCGGGATTGAGAATAAATATACATATGCCTATCAAACGTTTTACTCATATCAATGAAAAAAGTTTCTTAAGGAGATAAATAGATCAATTTGAAAGGATTTCATATTGCAGGTTGTTCTGTATTAATTTTATTTTGTTTTAGATGACAGGTATAGGCCGTATCTTATGTCATATGGTAAAACACGTAGTGATTACATCAACGCTGTGATAATACCAGTGAGTGACATTTTAACACACTTAATATATTTAAGGTTTCAGAAAGATCATGCGACAAATCGAAAAAAAAGGCAATGTTAACATTTCAATGAATGCTTATAAAAATAAGTTAATATGGTTATCATCATGACAAAGTAAGTCTTGTTTCTTGAACATTTTTTTTGCTTTTAAACCTTTGAATTAAAGAGTACATAACGATGACTTATTAGTGTTTCCTTAACATCCAGTTGCAATTATTGTATGCATATTCAGCACGAGAAACAATGTAAAACAATTAATACAAGAGGTATTTTCTGATAAAAAGGTCAATTGGGATGCAGAGCGTGTAATTTGGACTGCTAAGAGAAACAATGTTATTAAGATACAGGCAATAATTTTACCGAACAACAGGCGAGCTACGAACTTTTCAGAGTGTGTTTTCTTACGTACTCTCTCTTTAAAGGGACATCGGATTTAACGTCTAAAATCTAATCGGACGTGGCTTCGTTTTTATACATCCTGCACAACCAAAAAGGATGCCCACTTTTGCAAGATTTTTACTGCCATCATATGTATATTGAAACCGGTTGAAACTTGTTCTGTTCGTGTAGTAAATTAGCAAACAAAAGAAACTTTCTTTAAAAGAAGTAGTGTGATGATTAATGCTTTAGTATTTTTATGTTTTTATTTCTTCAACAAAACATAGTATTACCGCACAAGGAGCAGTCCTTGCATGCACAGATGACTTATATTTCAATAGCTGGTTTGTTCCCGGGAAAACGTTTGAATACATCCTTTTTCTCAGTCTCATCTACCTTAATTTTACTGTCACACTACCAAAACCGATGTATAAAAATTGTTAAAACATTTTGGCAAAGTGAAAACAAAAACTATATCCCCTATTTCTTTTAATGTTTATTATAACGTTATTGGTTCCTTCACAGGGATATGCAGATAAGAGTAAATTTTTAGTAACCCAATGTCCTTTGGAAGGGACTGTTGTTGATTTCTGGACAATGGTATATGACCATGACTCAAAAGTTGTTGTATTATTGGACCAGTTAAACAAGGTAAGATAGGCTCAATTGACATGGGGTGAATTCCGTTCAATTTAAAATTAAAAATATCAACTAAACTTTGAACAATTCAAGAGTACAGTGGGAACCTTCTTAAATAATATACGTTTTTTGTGTTTTTAATGTAACGAGTTTTGCCACACACGATCCACAATAATCAGTACAGAGATATATAAATCAATGTTTTCAAAGAAAAAAACTGTGAATTACTTTAGAAAATATTATTCAAACTGTTGTTATTTCGATTTGTTTATTAAAACAATACCATTGAATTAGCCATTCACATTTCAATATGCGCATTTAATTGATTAACATTTTATTCAAAGACATGAAATTTGTATTTTTCTTAGAATGGTCAGTTGTGGACAGGAAAAAATGAAGTGTTGGAGTTTGAACATTTTACCATTTTGCAAGAAAATGCGTCCAACACAGAACAGCTCCAGCTGACCTTACACTCTAAGGTGAATATGATGGTTACAAATACTGAGACCTATTGATTAACGATTTTTTTAAGTTGGGAACAAAATCAACACAAAATGCTTTACATCTAGACGGGGTAAGGCAAAGTGTTCATATTAGTAAGCACTTTATCATACTTTCCAAAAACAGTTGTATTATTGAATATTCATTGGCATGACACGTACATATAGTAAATTTATAGTTTATTCTGCACTGCCTGTTCGTGTTCTATAAATTACATGATATGGAAGCCAATTAAATTTACCACAAATCGAGAGAAAAATCTATACATAAAATAAATATAATTAAACAACCAACAGTCTTCATATCTTATCATAGAAAACAATATGGTTGTCCAACACGAACTCCTTCATTGGTGAACTCAACTATACTTTCTTAAATTCATGTCTCCTAATGACAAGGGTAGAAGTTGTTTGAAGGCAATACATTTATTGACCATAAGACTGTCGTTTCATTCAATCTGGGTATGTTATAAGACACATACACATTAAAGCATACTTTTTCGCGCTTTGATACCAATGAAAAGGTTTCTCATTATTGGTTTTGACCTTGAAATAACATGTACCTACATAATAGTGTATTTATCAAACACATTTGTTTGGAACAATGATCAACAATTTATATTTAAAAAATGCATTGTCTTCAAGGTTTGAAACAAATGAGAGAAGAAGATTTAGGTTATGCTTCATTGGTCAAAAACTACAAAAGAAACTATATACTGTCCTCAACAATAAAAAAAATATATATACACGATATTTCAACACTAAATTCCCGAAAAAAACACATAGGGATATAACTTAACAAGGGTTATGACTAAGAACAGACTCATGAACATGTCCTGAGTTTAGAACAGGTTTGGACAGTGTACACTAGATCAGATTATGTCATTTCTACCTTAGAACGTTTCTGAGGTTGAACTGTTCAAAAGCACTTTAGAATTCTGAAAAGAGGTTAGAACTTATCCAAACTATATTGATACGTAACACATTCATTATTGCCTTTTGGGTTATGTAAAAGTTCAGGGACATGTCCTCTTTTATTATCACGACGAGTGCCACATGTAGAGCATGATCTGCCTACCCTTTCAGAGCACCTGAGATCACCCATAGTTTTTGGTGGGGTTCGTGTTGCTCAGTTTTTAGTTCTTTGTTTTGTTTTGTGTACTATTGTTTGTCTGTTGGCTTTTTTCTTTTTTAGCCATGGCGTTGTCAGTTTATTTTCTACTTATGAGTTTGAATTGTCCTCTGGTATCTTTCGCCTCTCTTTATATATCTTACGTCAACTTTTTAAAGTCATATATTAAGATTTCCTCGAATATGTATTTCGTTGTTCTATATATGACAAATATTTAGTTTTTAATTTTTTTCCAAAACTCGTACTTTTACATTTCTGTAAGTTTGATTCTTATTAACATTCCGTTTACATTTACTCAATAAAATAGAAAGATTTGAATCATATTAATTTAGATTATAATGATAAACTGGAACAGTTTCCGTATGTTAATCTTTAAAATATATATCCTCTCTATCTCTTCTCTTAAGAAAAAGGAACAGAGGAAAATTACTGTTTTTACGGCACCTAAATTGAACGTGACAAGTGATGCAATGCTTCAAACTAGCATTCTACTAGATCTTCTGAAAAATGTAAAAGATTTCTGGGAAGAACACAAAGGCTATATTACTGTTGTTAGCAGGTACGTCATTAAAAATGTTTAGTTGTTCTGTTGCTTTATTTTAGTCTTCCTCAATGAAATTCCAAAAAAATAAATATGCAAAAATCATATTTACTAGCCGTACATTACTTCGTCATATATATATAATAAAACAGTGAGTTTAAGGATGACGTTAGGTGAAATTAAAAAAATCTAGAATTTAAAATTGATACTAATTAGTTAAGGAACAAAATAAGCTAAAAATATTGATAGGTTATGGAACTCCTTTTTGAGATATTTGATGTTTTTTTTAAATGACGGGAAAAATCTGACTCGCACTTTTACCTTATATTTACCATTGGCATTATTTGGGTCTCAAATTGTAAGAAAAAAAATCTAGAATCTGCTTAAATTTTGGTAATGACCTTTTTATGACCTATTGAAGTCTTCTATAAAAAGAAAAGTGTGTGATATGGGGCAAAATATTTAACCCTGTATCATAGAAAAAACCCTAAGGAGTCCGAACATCTGACAAAAATTCATAAACCTGACCTGACACTACATCCGTGTGGTATATAGGTGTTTAATTATGTATCGCTAAGCCATAGCTTCTGAAATTACTAGTTTTGAAGACTGTTTTAAATACAATAATGATTGAGTTGTTCCACATGTGACAATTACCGTCAACATTCTATAGAGAAATATGATAAAAAAAAATCACGGTTTTCACATGATAATTGTTGCTCTGTTCTAATAATATGAATTACAATTTGAATAAAAACTGCAATCGTCATTTTCATTTTCTACACAAGAAAAAGTCTGTTCCAAGTCAGGAATATGACAGTTTGTTTCCACTCATTTGATGTGCTTGAGCTTTTGATTTTGCCATTTGATAAGGGACTTTCCGTTTTGATTTTTCCTTGGAATTCGGTATTTTTGTTATTTTACTTTTTGATCTTGTTTGAGGAATGAAATGGTGAATCTTGATTGAATTTAAAGATATTGTAAAGCAGGACTCCTTGCAGTTAATGCATGACTGTTCAGAGTGTTCGCTTGCACTCAATCTAGTTTATTTCAATCGCTTCTAAGACATTATCATAGGTTGAATAAAGTTTTCAAAACATGACATTTTCAAAAATTAACTTTATAAATATTTATTGAACTAAATAGAGGTGCATAAGGTGAAGCATTATAAATATACTATCCTTTATTTTACAGCGATGGTTGCACTAAAATTGGGCTGTTTGTTGCGCTATATCTTTCTTTGGAAAAAATGGAGAAAGACGATGAAATTGATGTGTTTCAAGTGGTTAGAGCGATGCAAGTTAGACGCCCTGAATTTTTAATGGAATTAGTAAGTTTTCCCCGAATAAATATTATGTAATAACATTTACGGTACCAATGGTATTGCAACAGATCACGACAATTAATATTTTTTGAGTGATGATCGAGGCCAAATTATTTGACAGTCCAAAACATAATAAAAACAATGAACAGCTGATAAAACTACAGCAAATTTGAATAGAACAACACCCGTATTTTTCATGCCAGTACCGAGGTACTGCCTACTTGGTGCTAACAGCCCATAACCAAAGTATCGATACATAAGTAGTAATAACATTCACGGTACCAACTTTTATTGCACCAGATGCGTATTTCGACAAGTAATGTATCTTCAGTGTTGTTTGAGGTTAAATATTTGAAAGTCAAAAACCTTCTACAAACGTTGCAAAACTGATAAAACCAAAAAAATACCAAAAGTACAGCCAATTCAAACCCAGACAAGAAATCAGAGCTGTGCTTGAAGGAGATACATTCCTGAATTTGAAACAATTTTGAAATTTTATAACTCCAGAAAATTTAAATAGAAAATTATCCGTATTTTCACTCCAGTACCGAAGTACTGGCTACTGACTGGTTATCCCTTCGGGGACTAACAGTCCACTAGCAAATTTATCGTCATAGCTTTTGAAGTTCAGATATAAAAAAAATATTTTAAGGTGCTAATTTTAAAGGTAAAGAAAAGATCCTAATCAAAGATAATTTCCAAATCGTCACCTCATATTTTGAGGGAAAATCAATGTACGACGTTTTGAAAATTTCCATTTCTCCCGTGAAGTTGAATATGCAGCGCAAATGTAATAAAGACTCGTATAAATATATTTGTTTTCTGTAAAAGAAAACAACAATACATTCCTTTTGTTACATTTATGCAATGCTCTGAGACATCGCCTCAACAAGATTATGTTACAACGGCGTCATAATAAACCAAAGTAGTAACAACGAAACATTGAACGTTTATCGTCATCCTAAAATTTATTTCCCTTAAGGGGACGACTATTTGAATTTTAGGAGGGGCAGAAGAGCAAGAGCAAGAGCTGAAAATATATTGATATTGACCAGTACAGGATGAAAATGAATAATCTGCAACACAAAATGCAAAAAATTAATTGTGAACAAAAGTGTAATAAATTTTCGGCCGCTTCGCCACTAAAAAAAAATAAGCATGCGTAGCAACAGATGAAAAAAAAATCAATCCGGAAAAAAAATCCTCCTGCCCCCTCCTGGAATCTAAATCTTATACTTAAATAATGCTGAAAATATTCTAAAAGCCTTGAATCAATAAAATGTTGTTTCCTTCATATCATATATTTTATTTTTCTATAGGAGCAGTATGAATATTGCTACAGGTGCATCAAGGAGTATTTAGAAAGAGACTCGCTGTATGCAAATGTTTAGTTTCGTCAGTGTTTATTCCTTTAGAATTAAGTTTAGATCAAATACATTTACATACTGAAATGTTATAACGAAATAAAAGTAAGATGTCAAATTACAAAGAAAATTGTAATTACATGTCTTTGTGGACAAATTAGATTGTTGGGTTTTGTATACATTATTGATTAACATTGTCTGCGATATATATCTATGGTATAGTTTTAATTAATCGGAAAACAGATAATACTAATATTTATTAATCGTGTCTTTGATATAAATGTGTAAAACTCTAGTATATTCTAAGCATAAACCTTGAACTGCCTTGGATAAAGAGACCTTTTTGTTTAAAAAAAGTCAAAATTCAAAAGTCTTGAGATCAGTCAATTTCAAATTGGTAATTAAAATAATCGATCAATAAACTGAACATCAAAGTTATATTCAGTGTTCTTGCAGGGTTTTTTTTATTTTCACAGAATTTGATGTTTGTCCAAATTTTGGCTCATTTCAATTCCTTTAAAAACAAATTATATGTAATAGAAATTTTCACTCTAAAGAAATTAATGAACATGTGCAGTTGGTATGTTTCTGCTTAGTATACATTCATTTTAAATGCTCACAAAACCTATAAGTAATCATGTTATGTTTCATACATTACCTATTTTTATTTTATTTTTTTCAATTCGTGAACCAGGCTTGGTAGTACAGTTCGGATTAGTTTTAAATTCTCTTCAGACCTGTAAGAATAATCAATCATAGAAATATTCTAAGGTAGAACTGTCATATCATGTGTTATATGGTTGAACTGTACAGCTCATGATTACAAAACAGCCGACTCATTTCACACAAAATTTTACCAAAAAAGTATTCGTAACTCGGGAACATTGCAGTATAACTAACGATCATTTTTTGACGTAACATTTTTTGTGAAAAGAGCCTCTACTCTACAGTATAACTGTCAAAATGTGTTCCAGAGTACAAATCTCAGAATCTGTTTTTCGTTAGAACTGTCAGAATCTGTTCCATGGTAGAACTGCCAGGGTCTGTTCCAGGGCGGATCTGTCAGTATCTATTCTACGATAGAACTGTCAGAAGAATCTGTTTCATGGTAGACCTGCCAAGATATATTCCAGGGTAGATCTGTCAGTATCTATACTACGATAGATCTGTCAGAATATGTTCTACGGTAGAACTGACAGAATCTGTTCCAGGGTAGAACTGTCAGGATTTGTTCGGGGTAGAATGTTAAGAATCTGTTCCGTGGTCGAACTGTCAGGATTTGTTCTAGTGTAGATCATTTTCAGTCAACAATTGCTTCAAAAATATCAGAAGAACTATTAAGAAGATTAACTTATGAATCCTTAGATTACAAGGGAGGTTACATTGAACATATAGCCATGCTGTTTTCTGTTTTTATTAGACATGAATCATCAGTTCAAAATTTTGAAATATGATCGTTAAAGTTTTAATGTTAATTTATTGTTTTTTCTTAAATTCAATCCGAAATTGCTGCCAAAATACGTTTGAATCAACTGTTTTTTAAACTATTTTAAACATGTGTTATCAATTTTGCGTGTTTACAGTGTCTAAAAACTGTAAATATGTATACCGGAACTGTGTTACCGGGTAAATGTGGTACAGCGACTAATATATCATGTCTAGATTTTTTGTCGGCATATTTTTTCGAACTGCATTCCGTCTTTGATGAGAAAAGGGAATAGATTAGGTGTACCGAGGTTAAAATCTTGTCAATCGATTAAAAGAGACAAATCAAGGCAGCAAACAAAAACTAAGGGCATCGCATGAACTCCAAAAGGTGCGAGACCTAATGCGCCGACGGGGTAAACGTCTCCTGCTATGCATGCGTAATCCGCTATTCGAATACACTCTCAGACACAATGACAAAATCAGGAATAGGACACAATCGGTTAAATCACAGATCAGACTACTATAAAGGTATCTGTAGATCTAAGAAATGTTATCCCACTGACATTGTTTCAACATGTTCAATGTAAAAACTCCTGAATTGAAGATATATATTGATATAATCGAGACTTCATTTGTTATTGTCACTATTATTATTAAGTTTTTTGTATAATGAGTATTCTCTATTTGATTACTGTTTTATAAAATTATATTTTTGTTTGTTTATAAACATACTTTGTTAACCATTTTTATATAGTACATAATGTAATGGTTTTTTTTTATCAAATAAAAATACTTCGGCACCTCTGAAGAATCGCTTTTCTGTAATTGGAGTGAAAAGGCGTGAGAGCTAGGCATAAAGTAATAACACTAAGTCTTGATGAAGACTGGTCGTCAACCAATCATATTTTTTCTTTGTTTTGGGTCGTTTTGGTGCTTTTTTTCTGACATATACCCAATTTTATCCATAAACAGAAGATTGAGTTTGTGTCGCTGCTCGTCCGTTTCGTCGACCCATTCATCGTAAAATATTTCCTAGTATTAAATTGAAGGGCTCGTATTGTTGTATAGGCAAGAAAGATCATTTGAGATTCTACCACGTTTTCATATTGCATTACACCTATCACCTATCGTTTTACTATTGATCAGTAGAGCTACTTGCGCTAATATCATAGGTACTCTGATTTTTATGTCTTCGTTTTGAGGAAACTGAAATGAATATAGCATTTTGTGGTCTGGTGATAAACGAAATGAAATTTATACTTATGAGCTGCTTACATAACGTATTATCCACAAAGGATGAAATTATTCGAGTGAAAAAAAGACTCATCAAAATTGATGCGAAAACCATGTCTGCAGATCTCAAAGTAGATTGCGATATATTACATGAGCTGTCATCAAGTATACAATTGTTCATAACCAGGTAATCGTTTGGTCGTTTGATAAATCTGATTGCAAATATATTTTTTGCGACTCATTTAAAGCCTTCTCCTCTAATAAGAAAGGTAAATATGCTAGATATACTTATTTCAGGTATGATGAGATGATTGAAGCTTTTAATTTTCTCTTTGATAACATCTATATAAAAATGAGGAGATGTGGTATGATTGCCAATGAGATAACTATCCATGAAAGTTCAATTGAAGTGGATTTAAGCAATTATAGGCAACCGTACAGCCTTCAACGTACGTTTCGGCAACAGCGTATCGACAGGTTGTATGTATTCTTATGGGCATCAAATGCGCCTCTTTAAAAGCACTGTTATGAATCACAGTTTATGGTCAAACTCAGTAAAGACCCGTCTAAATTGCATTCAATTGTTAATTTCAGCAATACTAACCGTTATCTTGATGATATTTTTTCGTTAAATAATCATGAATTTTCAAAATATACAGCCGAAATTTACCCAAAAGAACTTAATTTAAATACAGAAAATGTAAACGGTAATAACTGTCCTTCCTAGATTAAGATATTTCAGTTTTACATGGGAAACTCTACTAAAAAAATTACGACAAAAGGGACGATTTTTCGTTCCCTATTGTTAATTTTCCTTTTTTGGACGGTGATGTTCCTTTGGCACCATCTTACGGTGTTTACATATCACAACTCGTTCGCTTTGTCCGTGTCTGTAGTGACGCTATGGATTTCAATGAACGTAATCCATGTATTACTGGTAAATTATTAAGTCAGGGATTTCGTTACACAAATTACTTAAAGCCTTTACTATATTCTTCCATAGATACAAAGATTTGATTTGGAAGTTTGGCTGTACCTGTAGAAAACTTATTTCAAACGGGATAGCACATCCTAATTTTTACGGAGATGTTTACCGAGCACGGAAAATTAGATACGATCTAGGTAAACTTATCGATCCTTTAAATAAACTTATCTTTGAAGATTGTTTTAATTGGTATAAATATTGTTTTGATTTTGTTATCAGTAAATTAAAATCAAACTAAATATCATTTTTATTTACATAGGCACATTCATGGCTCTACAATCTGTCGATACCTGTATCTTGGCATTGCACAAGGTCATGTTTTTCTCTGACTGTTAATGATGTCTTTACACTAAATCCATTGGATGTTGGATGTGTACGGATTGATATTTTAGTCTTAGATGCATGATTTTTTATTAGCTGTTATTGGCTTTGAACTAGCTGTCATTAACTGCGAGTATTCTCAGATCTGTACTTAGTGTCTTTTTTGTTGTGGGGATGTATAAATACCCTGCCACGTCCGGTCTGTATTTTGTTAGATGCTTTTTCTGCTTTGTATCGATCTGATGAGTTAAGCCCTTTTCAACTGATTTTTATAGTAATGCTGTACTGTTAGACCTCTGTCTCAGGTTATGAGAGTGTTTGGCGTCAGCAAACTAGTTTAACCCCGCCACATTTTGTATGTGCCTGTCCCAAGTCAGGAGCCTGTAATTCAGTGGTTGTCGTTTGTCGCTGTATATCATATTTGTTTTTCGTTCGTTGTTTTGAACATAAATCAGACCGTTCGTTTTCTCGTTTGAAATGTTTTACATTTGTCATTTCGGGGCCTTTTATACCTGACTATGCGGTATGGGTTTTGTTCATTGTTGAAGGCCGTACGGTGACCTATAGTTGTTAACTTCTATGTCATTTGGTATCTGGTGGAGAGTTGTCTCATTGGCAATCACACCACATCTTCCTTTATTTATAAATAATTTTGACTAAAGGATTGATCGTTGTTACCTGACACGTTTGATGGCAAATATTTGTTTTGACTTATGAAGATATCATAAAATACGAATAAACTTCAAACTGTCGGGGTTGTTCTGTCTTGGTGAATATCCAGCCTTTACATTTAATCTTTATTTCAATGCATAATAAAAACTACAACAACAGATAAGTGCTACTGCTGATTGAAAAGAGAACATTTGACATCTATCTTTATAAATCACAGAATATAGTACAATGTAAAATTAAAACAATATTAAGCTTTAAAGTAAATTTCTCATGTATTTGTTTTTAAGGGTTTAATAATTAATTGTAGAAACAAAAACTGTTTTTATCGTTGGGATATAGCTATTGTCCTTTTTAAAAGATCGGTGATACCAGAACAAGTCATTAGTGAGTTTAATATAAGTTATATATATATAACACGCCTTTTACGAATTAACGTATTTAATTCACGAAAAGCTTATGTTGATGAGTAAGGCGTGGCTATATATGATTTGTAACATTAATGGGCTATGACACATGTCAAAGGTTAAATGCTGACCAATAAAACTTTACTGTACTTTTCAATATGTCAATCAAATAGTGGCGTGATTACTAGATCTGATTTCCAGAAAATGAACACATGCAGGAGGGTAGGAATGGGGGTCCTTCATTTCTGTATTCTTTACTTTTTTAGGCCATTTTTCTCTATTCTTTATACTTTTTGCCCATTATTCTCTATTCTTTTTATTTTAGCACCTCATTATTCTCTATTCTTTATTTTTTGGGTCCATGTTTCTCTATTCTTTATACTTTTTGCCCATTATTCTCTATTCTGTAAACCCCCATCCACAACCTCATGCAGCAGATGTCAGTTGGATTTGTATTTCAGATACAGGTACATTTAAATGAATTGTTGCCGTGGGATTTAGACTCGATAGCCATTTATGTGTTATTGAATATTTTTCTCACTGAAAATTCTAGAGAGGGGAATGGGGTGGGGGGGGGGGGGGAGACATAGATACAAAATTTTATTCCATGTTTATCTGCCTTCAAACCCGAAAAGGACGTGTAGTTTCAAAGTCAATGTAGTTTTAACGTTCTGATAAGAAGAAAACATTTCTAATACCATTTATGAAGGTCAGTCTATGGAAAGTGCGAATCGAGAAATCCGTTTCTTATGTAGAGTAGCGATATTTTCTTTTGTAAATGAGATGCATTGTGGGGAAATCTCAGACGACTTTTTACATTTGTAGGAATAAATGAAAATTCATCTGAAAGTACTTGTCTATTCTTTTTAAAACATGGACGTATTTAACAGGACAAACGTATATTAGACCGTTGGTTTTTCCGTTTGAATGGTTTACACTAGTAATTATTTGGGGCCCTTTATAGCTTGCTGTTCGGTGTGAGCCAATGCTCCGTGTTGAAGGCCGTACCTTGACCTATAATGGTTTACCTTTATAAATTGTAACTTGGATGGAGAGTTGTCTCATTGGCACTCATACCACATCTTCCTATGTCTATATACAACTTGCCATGTATTTTAAACATTTTATCCAAGTGTGCTGTATTTATACAAGTAAATATGCTGTTGTCTGTTCTATGGTAGGGTTGTTGTCTCTTTGACACATTCCCCATTTCCATTCTCAATTTTATTTGCATTAAATAAAACCTATTTGCACGATCTATAATTTTGAGGTGTCCAAATACTTTGACAATGATGTACCAAAGACAGTAGAATGGCCATCGAACTTATTCGATTACATTCTACGCCATAATCACTTGTATAAGGATAATAAGGCTTTTTTTTCTTATATGAGTGCGACGTTTTTCTAATAGAAAAGCGATATGCTTTTATTATGAAAAACTTTTCCAATGCGATATTTTTCTAATAGAAATGCGATACTTTTTTCATATGAAAAACATACGATAATATGGCACAAAACATCCAAACAAAGTAGAAACATCGACAATTATTCATGACAGGTTCGATGGTACAGGCAAATTATCACTGAAATTTCGTATAGATGATGTACGTATAAACTAAACGAATTATACGCATATAAAGAAGTAGATACGATGTATAATATCCCCTGCCCGTCGATCAACTTTGTTTTTTCGGATCAATATTGCACAGTTTTTACAACCTTCCAACTTCCGATGAAAACAAATGTCTGGGAAGTGTCACTCTAGAATAATAAAGTGTTGACACAGGTATATGTATGTATCATCTGTCATGTCTATTTGTAATTTTGATACGATATTCTAGGGTGTGTACTTCCTTGATAGAGGATTGCTGCTCACAAGAAGAGTTCCAAGTGGTGAAGTTGAAATCATCCCTTCCGAAATTTTACGGACGCCATCACGAGTTGGTTGACCGTTATGGAATATCCGTTTCACAGATGACAACGGATATGTTCCAATTGTCCTAACTACAATCCTGTCCCCTTTTCCCGAATGTGACCTACCGAATTAGACTTATCACCGGGTTTGTACTAACATGAGCAACACGACGGGTGCCACATGTGGAGCAGGATCTGCTTACCCTTCCGAAGCACCTGAGTTCACCGTCAGTTTTGGTGGGGTTCGTGTTGCTCAGTCTTTAGTTTTATA